ATCTAAGTTACAGTTCGATGAAAACAGTTTTGAAAACAAATGGATCAGATTATCACGATTATTGCCGTATCGCCTTTACCAGTGTCTGCCGCAGGTGCAGACAAAATGTCAGGACGAAAAAACTGCTAACCACGGCTAGTAAACCCAATATGAATTCAATGCGAGTATATCATTAGGATACCCAGCTATACAGTATGCTGAACACAATTTATTTATCATGTTTTCGAGAAAGCAATCTGTGAGTTGGGTACCTCAAGGCACGATACTTGGTCCCATTTGTTTCACATTGTTTCCCAATGACCTGTTAAATCTCCACACGAAAGGGGCAATTATAAGCTACCCAGACGACACCAAGTTTTTTACGAAGTTGAAAGTTGGAACTCCCTCATCATTAAATCATGAAATGACTTCAAAACATTCATTGACTGGCTGAATGTGAAACTATTTTATGATTATAAATCATTCTAAAACAAAATTCCTAGCCAAAAATTCACCCAGTCTCCAGCCCCTTGAAATTAGATGCGAAAACAACATCGTGAAAATCATACAAGCTACAGAAATAAAATATCTCGGTGGATTGATAAACACTCATCTGAAATGGGACTCAGTTAATGCAAAAAATCAGAAGTCTATTGTCTAAATTTAAATACTTAAGAAATATTCTGTAAGAAAAACATCTTTCAATGCTGTATTACACATTAGTGGAAACCCAACTGAGATATGGCATAATAGCTTGGAGAAGGACCTATAATGATATTGTGAAGATTGTTAAAATAATTGAGAAATGGATTCTGAAAATATTATTAAGAAAACCAATTCATAAGCTTGGCAATATCTTGGCAAGATATAAAAAACAAATATTTCTTTCGAGATTATCTGAAATAGAAAAAAAAAACAGAGAAGGATATTTATAGATTACTCCTACTGCACTAGGTCAAGAATATTAACCATTTTGGTTCCACATATGACTAAAACTATAAAAACTATCTGCCAATTAAATTGAAACAACTAAACTCATTATCTCTGTAGAGTAGAAGCTGAAATAATATCGGATTTATGTCTGAAATTGGTTCTTTTCAGTTTAGAACTTCTTTTATGTTCGAAGATTCTCGTTTTGAAAGCTCTTGCTTGAAAGCCTTCCTATATAAACGTTTGGGCATGATCCGCACCTGGTCTTTTATCCCTGTCTATGTGTGACTTGTTGTGACCTATAGAGTTAACAGGATATGTTAATGTTTTCCTTTGTTAGTAATCTTTTTATTCCATCTGATGATTTTTATATCTAAGGGATTGTTTTGTAGGTGTGTTATTTTCAATGTGGAAGACTACTTGTTTATTGGACTGTTTGAAATGTTTTTTTTCTCGAGGATATGATGAATAATGTTCGAGTTGAAGTTATTGTTTACTGCAAACGACCCGAACGCCAATAAAATATTTGGTTTGTGATTCAAAATTGGGTAGACCCTGTTAGCGTTTTGCATTCATTACTTTTTACTATTAGAAAGTATAGTTGGTATAGTTTATGTGCAAGAAATGCTACACAATGTTGACCTATATATAGTTTCACCACGAATTGATCTATATGTATAATGCTATTTTGTTCATGAATCATATAACAATGTTCAGTGGGTTGTGATTCAGAATCAATCTGTCACAATGAATTTTTTGAATGTCCAGAAACTAATTTTCAGAAAATCCATATAAGTTTACGGTTATTTATTCGAAGTATACATTCTTGTATGTTCTTCAAATTATATAAATGTGCGAAGATACTGAAAATATCCAGATCTTGGGTATTTTTCTTTTTATTGGCAACACTGCCAAGACGCGTCCCGTCCGCTGTCGAGGATTGGAATCGAAGGCGTGAGACGCACGCGCCCGGCGCTATGCAACCCTCTGTACACGGTTATCGGATAAACATTGTTTGGAGACGCACGCCGGTTTTTTGTGAGGAAGAGTGCATGTGCTCTGTCGAGGTTTCTTCCGGCGCATCCACCTTTATTTGGGGGTTTATTGACCCGATGGAAATCGCATTTCCTTGCATCGACAGAATTCGAGGATTGAATGAAACTGGCAGATACTTGATGAAAATTCATATTGAAACTCACTAATATAGTTCATTTTATAATTTTCACTATGAAGAGTTTTACAAAAACCGCGACACGTGTTTCGCCATACAATAACTTTCTCAAGCGTAAAATGATTACCTACTTCTACCTACAAACAAACAACACACATGTTCGAAAAGTTTTACAAATCACCGTCCGACCACCATACTCTCCAGACCTTTCGCCAATCGACTACCATATTTTCAAGCACTTTGATGAACTCACCTGTAGAACCTTTGCCAATCAGGACCAGGTGAAAACAGCCTTCGTGGACCTCAGCGAATCCAGAGTTGTAACAATGGCGATATTATTCGATTTGTATTACTTTGACAAGAGTGCATTGATTCAAATGGCACTCATTTTAATTGAATTGTATTATTACTCACTGAGATATAACAGTTTGAAGAAGACGCATTAAAACGGATATAACTTTCAAAACAACCTAATATTGTGGAGTTGAATTGTTAAGAATAGTAGAGTTATCAGAGAAAGTCCGCATTATCTTTTCTTTGACAGAATTCTAGGAAATATCTGAACCACGTATCCGTGGGGCAGATCTTTCGAAATTGAATTTACTTTCATCTCGATTCAGATATACAAAGACACGATATTCCTTCCCAGTTCATGTATATTCGGTATACTTCTGCAGGCCTAAACTTTTTCACCTTTTGATGCACTGTTTGGAACCTTTGGTGTAGTAATGAATATTACTGGAGGTTTTTTCCAACACCAAATCGTTACTTTTAAAAACTCGACACGTGTTTCGATCACCAAGTGATCATCTTCAAAGAGGAAGATTAAAACTAGAAACTAATGCGAGCTAATCCTATTTATGCTATATAGGTATCCCATACAGGTAAACCTTTCAGGCGTACCAACCATACAGGTATACCAACCTAAATTAATTTTACAATTTTGCCTTATCTATTATTTTACAATATATGTTTATATAAAACAATTTTCAGCTATATAAAAATTAATTTCACAATATTGCCTATCCAAATTTATTTTTGCAATGTGTCCTTAGGTAGTAATCAGTAAACCCAATAACATTATTTTATTTCAACCAGCTATATAGTATGCTCTTTAGTATAGGTCCATCATCGTTATTCATGATATTATTGTGTTTACTTATTTCTACACTCTCATAGGCATCTAGTTGCCTGTTGTTGTTAACTTCTCCAACTAATCTTAATGAACTGAAGTCTATGGAATGATTTTCTTGCAAAATATGATGGGCGTCCATATTTTAAGTGTGCTATGTGTTCCTTATATCTTACTTCAATAGATCTTTTTGTCTGTCCATAATATTTTGCATCGCAGTCCTTACATTCAATTTCATAAATTCCAGACTTTTCCGAATTCTTGACTTTGTCTTTTGGACTTCCCAAAAGGCACTGTAGTGTATGACTTGTTGTACTCTTTGAAGATGATCACTTGGTGATCGAAACACGTGCCGAGGTGTTAAAAATAACGATTTGGTGTTGGGAAAAAACTCCAGTAATATTTTTCACCTTTAATGGATATTCCCGTCTGTTGAACCATTTCATATATTTTTTTGTATCTGAAGCTTCATTAGATAAGTGGAATGTAAGTATAATATATGATTTGCAAAATTTGTATTAATCGCGAAATTCGGCTGTTTCCTATTCTGATTGAATATATGGAGCGCTCCTCGTATCAATATATTTGGTCGGTCGCTGAAACAGCAGCAGAACAAAATGATTTGAGGAAGTTTCCAATAGAATATTGTTCAGGACACAAAAAAAGAGCGTGAGAGATTACGTGGCTATGGTTCTACCTGAATGTATGTCGGCTCTAGTAGCGGCTTGTAGAGAGATTTCTGATTCCAGGAGAATGATCGTAAGAACCTGTTGGATCACACAACACTAGCTGGCCAGCAATTTTCTCAATAGGTTGTCGAATCACCTGAGATGCTTTCTGTAGCGAGTCTATATATCAAGTCCCTGTTGTTCTGCTGCTGTTCCAGCGACCTACCAAATATATTGATACGAGGAGCGCTCCATATATTTAATCGGAATTGGAAACAGCCGAATTTCGCGATTGATACAAATTTTTCAAATTGAGTGAAAATCATCAATAGACAAATACACAAAGAGAAAAAATGAAAATGAAAAAAAAAGAAAAAAAAAGAAAAGTAGTGAACAGTATCACATAGCTCTCGAGTCGCATTTTCAACAATATGCACTTTGACTGTAACCTGTTGAACATTGAAACGACGAAAATATTTATTTTTCTATTTAGGAACTTTTACTTCTATAATAGTAATAATAGATTAATTAACTGGTTCAGTGGCCCCTGAAGAAGAATTGAATTGAGTTCGAAACGTTGTCAAAAAATTCATTTTCAATAATGAAAAATGAATATGAACTATCAAACTAATCTCTATAGTTTCCTGAAGTCACCTCTCAACTTTTTCCGACACAGACAACAACGGAGAAATTACAAGCTATCAATAAATATTCGGAATATATGTTTAAAATATGTTTTTTCGTTAACCAGCTGTCACACCCCTACGAACGACAACCCTCAGAAGTCGAAACTTGTGCGAGCTAAGGACTAACGGGGTCTTACCTTTTAACGTGTGATTCCTGACACGGGGTGGACGATAGCGAGTGAAAATCGATTGTTCAGCCTGGGGCTTGAACCACCGACCAACAGGCGGCCGATTTGAGTGGTGAACAAAGCACGCACGTCGAACCGCGCGGCTACCCACCGACATTGTATTGAGAATTTTGATGTGTTTTCATAATCGACATATCATTCATACAAGAGGGAAAAGGAGCGGTCTGAGGTGTGAAACATGTGAAACACACTTTCATGTAAACAACATTGAATATATTTTGGATGAAACATACACATAGAAACAACAACTTTCATCTTTGACCGCTCTGTAAAGAATAGAATTTATGGTACAGTCCTCTTCTTTCCAGGAGTTCCAAGTGCGTACCAATTTCAACAACAGAACCTTCTTTCATGACACATATGATATCGGCATCCTGTATAGTTGTGAGTCTATGAGCGATTATTATGCAGGTTCGGTCTTTCTTAGCGTTATTGAGAGCTTCTTGCACGACCTGAAGAATAATCGTAGGTAAATTTGATAAAATATGCAGTGTTAGATTTGTAAAGATTTAAAAAATAATAGTAGAGTCGAATTAGGGTTAAGGGTGGAACTAATTCCCACAAAGGCGGTGTTTGATTTTTTGAGTTTATTACTCATATCATTTCAACATACTGAAAGTCTTAGGACTTGCAGCAGATTTTGCAGCAGAGTCGGACTACTTTTAAAGCTATAGATTTCTATAAAAATGAAGGCTCAATTTCTCACGTATTGTTTGAATAGGGATGTTGTAGGGATGTTTTGGCTAAGAAGATTCTTTCATCGATTATGAAGGCTGAATTTGGAAGTAGTTTTGAGCTAGTGATTTGAGTGTATGTAAACATGGTGCTCCACTTAAGTCGACGGATTTGAATCATTAATAATCCTGTTTTTAGCAAGAACAAAATTGAAGCACTAGGTTACGTGAATCTTCGTCTGACACGAACCAGTTTCCTTAATTTTTTCCAATGACCAATGTTACACGACCTTATTAGGTATAAAGATATTGGGACGCTAGACAAATCAAACTTGACAAACTATACTTCATTACACGACCTCTAAAATAAATGTAAGCTGGTTCTTCTTAAGTGATGCATTTTATTTTTGGAGACAGCAAATATATATTAGCGGAAGCAATTTGATTTTATAACAGTTATTTGATTGTTTTGGAATTGTAGTGAATATAGCATACTATGAAATAGTTGGAAAATCATCATCAAAGTGACAATATGGTAATTAAAACATAATTGTTTTTCAAAGCATTCCAATAAAATAAGTTCATTAAAACTACAGGAAGCAGTTACAAAATAATCTTGAAAAAGTTTTATAAAGAGCATACAAACCTCACAGAAAAGTGCTGTGAAACTTCTACAAAACAATTCGCTTTTATATAGGAAAATACATTTTATAAGTTAGTTGTAAAAACGTTTCTGTGATAATTTCGTGACTATTTTATAACGTATTTATAATTTTATTTCATAAACGTTTCTATGACAAATTTATAAAACATTTTCATTGCCTACAAGTGTATTATATTCAAGGCTCGTCCAATATAGGTAATCAATTAGCATTTTGGAAGTGATAATAAAATACTAACATGATAAAACTGTTGCAGCACCATAAAATTATAAAAAAAATTGCTGGTTGGGAACTGTATTCATTCATCAAGATTCGTTCCTTACCTTCTCACTTTCATTATCCAATGCAGATGTTGCTTCGTCTAATAACAAGATTTTTGGTTTCCTGATCAAAGCACGTGCAATAGCCACTCTTTGTTTCTGCCCACCCGAAAGTTGAGTTCCTTTGGATCCCAGCCTTGTGTCATATGCCTACAAATTGAGATAGTGAATAAATCAGCAGCTTGGTGTTAACTGATGTACCTGTGGCAGACACGTAATGAAATTATGTATATTGGCGGACTTAGCTGCAGTGATTATTTCATCAATGGTAGCATCCTTGTGATTCACGCCATAAGCTATATTTTCGGCAATGGTTCTGTCGAAGAGGTTAGGTTCTTGGGAGACGATACCAAGTTGTGATCTGAGAGTATTCAAATCCATTATTTTGATGTCTTTTCCATCAACTACTACTTTTCCTTCTGTCGGGTCGTAGAATCTTTCTAATAATTGCAAAATGGTCGATTTTCCACAACCACTGGGGCCAACCAGAGCTACCGTCTTGCCCTTAGGAATGGAAAGGTTCAACGAATTCAGTACAGTAACTAGAGATCTTGTAGGGTAAGAAAAACTTACTCCAGTGTAATTCACGGTCTCGTCATTCTGAAAAAAACAATTGATTAAATGATAATGCTAACATTTTCTGAAAGCAAGATTATTTTCAAGCAGAATATTGAACAATTTTGGTAATTTCAAAATTATCAACTTGGACCTACCAAGTTATGAAGAATCTAACAATCCTGTTGAATAGTATGTCTCGTAAGTGATCATTTGTATGTGTCGACTTTGTCTATTTGTCTATTTTGTCTATTAATGGAAAATTACAGACTCGTTATCGTGCCTTCCAGCTTTTCAAAAATTCTTGAGTATGCTTTTATGGAACGATTGATGAAATTTACTGAGAGTAATGCTCTGATGTCTGTAAATCAACATGGATTTTGCCAAATGAAGTCGACTTACAGTGCCCCTTAGCATTTTACAGAAAGGTTGTTCATTTTTTGGAGGTCGGGGAATGCCCGGTTGGAATTTTTTGTGATTTCAGCAGGGCGTTTGACTGCATTCAGCATGATATTCTATTTTCTAAACTATATCCCTATAACATCCGAGGTGTTGCTCTTGATTGGATAATGTCTTTTGTGAGTAATCGTCAACAATATGTCAGTATTGAGATTAATGACGAACAGTCTAGAACGGCTGACTCAAAAAGTCTCGATATTTTTTTTTTTTTTTCAGGTTTAGGTTTCAGGTTTATTATTGTTGCTTAATTACATTTTCAAACTTAACATTTCAAACTTAACTTAAGGTACTTAAGGTAGAGATTGTGTCTGAAAAGGACGACCTAGGCACAGGTGCCTGTTGTGTCTTTGTCCATTTCAGACAATAGAATTATATAACAAAAGGAAATAAAAGCGATATGTAGAGGTAGGTAGTTACAAGAGGCAGACAACCTGGAACAGAGACCAGTAAGTGGAATAT